TATATATATATAATCAAACCCATATAAACTGATTCTATATAGAGTATCTGTGTCAAGGCTGCAATGCTCTTTAGACCTTCGTGTAAAAGAGCTTTTACACGGGTTCTTTCTGATCAAACTCCATATATTGTTTGATCACTCTCTGAATCAAAGAGCTTATGAAAAGGCAAATTATAATTTGATATTATCAAGCTATTTGAAAATCGATAACATTCAATAGAAGATCAGTTTCATGAATAATAAAATAATATTTATAAATAATTAAATATTACTTCAATAGAAAATAAGATGAGAGAAAATAGATATCTAGATATGATAATATAATTAATATTAATAATATAAGAAAAGATAAAGGAAGAGCTAATTTTTTTAATAAAAATTATAAATAAAAATTTAAATATTTTAAACTTAACTAAATATACAATCTTTTATAAATCTCAATGATAGCAAAATATTCGTAAATAGTTTGGATTTACAAATTTATTGTTGTTATCAATGTAGCATGTACTTTAATGGGTTCCACACGATGCACCTCAAGAGTGGCATTTCTCATGGGACACTCACGACGTAGTTGCAGCAACCAAATTTCCACGGAAAAAAGTACGCCCATTCGAGATTGTCTTTCTTTACGTATATCAAATATTGTGGTAAATTTCCAGCAAAAGATCACAAAAAATCTGTCATGCCATGCTCGAGACAAAAGAATGCCAGACAGACTAATCTAAATACATCATTCAACAACATGACTATGTAGATGTTTGTCATTTTTCATACGACCCCCTCAGATACTATAACCAAGCTTTCTCCAAGAAAGATTGTTCCATGGGGTTGAGAATTCATCTGATTTCTATGAAGACACTGATTTTATCGCTAATACAATCATAAGATAAACTTAGAATGGAATAAAGTTTAAAGATGTGTTTGGTTAAAAAGAGTGCTGGGCACCACACCATGCTGGATGCCAAGAAGTTTGGTGTTGCAAAAAGTGAACAGAGCTATTGAATTGGAAAGAATACCATATTAATTCGTTCCCACTGTAATAGTGAAGAAGTAGAGCTTCAAAACTACCGCAAGACCTAACTGCAACAAAAATATTCCAGCAACAATCAGGAACCATCTCTCCCCAGCAGATTTGATGTGCGTACGAAGATTGAGGGCAACAAAAGTTGCAGACATGAATCCGGCAACACCAGCAATCACCCATCTGAAGATTTCTACAGGTACAATGGAGAGACACTGCAACAACGCAGATAAACAAACAAGCATTAAATAAATGACCAGGCTAACCTACCCAAATAAACAAACAATGCAGATGAGCAAACTTGATATCCAAAACTCACTATTGCAAGGACAACAAAGATATCGATAGAAGGAACATTGCAGGCTAAGACAAATTATAGAGCAGATATTCTACCCCTCACATTTTGCATGTAGAAAATATTTCACTTGGTGTTATGCTGATGGGATTCAGATCAAAGAACTACCAACAGGAAGTAATTATGAATAACAGGATGAAGTAGCAATGCAGATTCAATCCTTTTATGGTGATGTAGCATGCAACAAGAGATAATTCCTAGCACCTCCCAACCTTAACAGCACTAGTTATCTTTTGTATATATTTCCAATAACAAATGTCATCATATAATAAATACTTTCAAATTCTAGTTTTATTCCATATTCCCATGACACAGTAATAAGAAAATCTTGAAACTGTTTTCATGACATTGCAGAGACTCAAGGACTAAAGTAGACCTCTCCTGAATTTTTGGAATCATTGCCTGGTGGCTGAACAAAATAGGAACGTTGAAAACCCTAAGCTAGTCAAAACAGAAAAGCAAAGCATACTGTTTGTTATACCCGTTCTTGAAACACAAACTAAACACTGCAAAGACCTGGTAGCTTGCACCAACAATGTATAGGTAAACTATAGACAGGCAAACTAAAATTATCAACCATGGAGATTTAAAAGATGCTTCAACTTGCAAAATATGAATCCGGAAGACACACAATCTTAACAATGGCTATAAATAATGAATGGTCGAAGCCCTAGAATGTATGAGAACATAACATGATTGACCCAATCAACATGTAAGATGATAGCTAACACAGATCAAGTTTGCTTCATCAAAAAGTTTGAACTAAGGAACAAACTACTCCATGTACCACCAAGCCCTTGGCTCCCGAAGTTTTCAAGTAGCAAGCTTACCCATTTTCTCATCAAAAACAGGTGCTTCATATACAAGTTCTAAACTATTGCTCATGTCATTCTATTGATCAAATTATATCTCGAAGTCTCAGAAAAATTTAACACAGGCATCTGACATGTCTTTTATTTTTATACAATTGTTTCCAAGCTTCTGGATGGCCCAAGCTAGCTTAGCAAAGAAAGTTACAAATCTAAATGGCAGTTGACATATAAGCTATCTTGGTGATGTAAATGCCAAGGGTACGATTTGGTACAAATGGTGTATACCGGTCCGACAGCACATAAAACGGGGTAGTACACCCAGTACAGGACCTATATCGCCTGGTACAAGCCCTGTAACAGGCAGCAATTGTTTTTTTTTTTTTTAAGCTTCTTTTCATGCCTTTTCAAATCTCAGCACATACCAGTATATTGACACATGGTATGCTAGCGGACTGGTATGGGTTTGGTGCCTGATATTAAAAACCTTGGTCAATGCACATTATAAGGTCATATTATGGAAGATGATGTTGCTCTAGATACTACAAACCAGTTGAATCAATTTAATAAAAATATCCCCATTGTTCACGAGTTTGGATCTTCGAACAATAAAAATTAATGGCAAGAAAGATGCCGTGGGAAAGCTGCTTTTGAATGGAACCAACATATAAAATAGAATGCATAGCATACCGAGGCAGGAATGAAAACAAATAAGGAATATCCATATAGACACCAAAGCTGAACGAGCCCGGATGGTGCTGAAAAGTACTTAAGTATGGCGTATAAACCAAGAGGGACCAAGGTGACATAGCCATAGAATAAACCAGCAGACCACGTGACCAGGTTAATGTCGTAGTTCCACTCTTTCTTCTGCAACTCATGTGCCACATAAGTGACAAATGTGCCAATAGCAGCCACCACAAAGATCAAAGTGGTGCATATCCAGAATGGGCCATACCTGCAAGAAGTACAAAGCAGAAGTAATAAAAATCCAGTATTACAATTGTTCGTGTTATACATGTTGGCAGACCTTTAAATGAATAAGGATATCATCCACCAAACGTTCCATACATGGCACAAGATCTCAATATGTAGAAGTTTAGGTGTTTGATTAAAAAAGATCTGAAATGGTATTTGTTTCATCATCAAAATGAGGATGTGGTTTAAAAATCCACTTACTAGACTTAAATAATTAAATCTCTTCACATGTCTGGTTCAACTTTAAGCTCGGAACCAAAGTTGATCAAGGTTGGCAGATGCTAATCATAAAGTTTATATATAATTTATCAATCTGATTACATTACTAATTGTCTACGTTTGAAGTAATGTTATAATATATTATGTTTTGTTAATATTATTATCAATATCTATTACATATTTATATTTAATATTTTAATTATTTTAAGCTTATCGATTGTTTAATGCTATTATATCAGACATCATTATATACTTCTAATTATTTATAATTATGGTTCAAATAGTTTTATATAAAGTTTAGATCATACTTTATCTTATTTATGTCATCTAATATTTTATTTTATTTATATGGATATTTTTAGTATTATATATATATGGCTAACATGTTGTAATAATTTATTGTAATTTATTTATAAATATTACATAGCTACCGATCCTAGAATTCCAAATATTCACCTTCACACAATTTTCCCAGATCCATGGAAGGCAGCAAAACTTAAAGTGTCAGAGACTACCTAAAAAATTGTCCAACAAATTCATTGTTGATAATTATTGAAGCTTCATAGAACCAGGGTCAGAACTTGAAGGGTTGCATCAGATAGTGTGCCGAGGCTAAGCTAAGTAGCAACTCATACAATGGCGGATGCAAGACCAGCATAATAAGGTAGAAGATCATGTAAGGAGATGGGGTACGTACAGGTCCGGATTATCTGCCGTATTCTCGGTGAAGGTCCCCCTGAATGGGAAAAGGGAGTCTCTGATCCTTTGTAAGACATCAGACGTATCCACATCAAAGTACGGCTTGTATGCACCGACGGTGAAAGCATGCATCCATCCCGTCGATCGGGGCTCATCTGAGATCCCGCGAGCTGGCTTTGAAAAGCTATCTAACAAAACAGGATCTCAGATCAGGATGAGACCTCAACAGAAAGCAAACGCAGACACGGCGAGGCAATTGGCCAGAAGAAACAATAATCATCAGAGAGAAAGGTAAGGAAAGGGACGAGGGGAAGGGGACGGTTACCGTCAGCATCGGAAGGGGGGCGGAAGACGGCGGCGATCTTGCCCTGGGACTCGGATGAAGGTGGAAAGGTATGCAGTTTGGACTCTGCAGCAAAGAAAAACCACAAACGATGGCAACAATCTGAGAACGAATTGCATCAAGAGAAAGAAACAACGAATCTGACGGGAGACGACGGTAGTACTAACCTGTGAATTTGAGGGTCACGTGATCCGGATCGGAGACAGCCTGCGGAAGCAGATCAAGCCAAAGTGCAACGGATCGGGTCAAGTCAGATCCAAGAAAACAAATGAAAATACCTCACCGCCGTCATGAAAGAGGAAAAAACGCTAACTACCGGGACGGATCCGGAGACGACGCTGTTCTTATTGTGGTCGTCGTCAACGGTGGTGTAGCCACCGCTCGACATCATCTTCTTTGAACTTCCTTAATGGATTTCGATTCTCACAACAACGACAAGAAGGGTGGCCGTGGGAGCGTCTCCTCCGCCTCCTAGCGGCTCGATCTATTTTCGAGTCCTAGGGGACGTCGCCACCAAAAGAGAATGGTCGAGGTTGACTCTATTTCTTTAAAAAAATAGATTGATTTAAGGGGAAATAATGCAGATGCGGGGTCACGGCATCACACCGAACCGCCTCCAAAGAGCCACCGACATCGTGTTGGGGTTCGAATTTAGCGCACCCAGTACTCACCTCGGTGGAAGAAATGCCTTGCAGAGTTAAAAGATGCATAAAAGAATAAGACAAATAGTTTATGATTTTAATGCAAGTTGTCCAGCCCTAAGGTACTGAAAATATATAACAAAAAATTGCATAAACTAAACAAATCCCATCGACACAAGGTAAGTATTACAAACAGCATGCACAACTGAGGTTATTGATGATGTGGTAAATGGCCAATCAATTCTGAACTGAAAAATTATTATTGAAACAGGCGGGTGTGATCCTAATCCATCAAAACTCTCTTTCCCAAGAAAGAATGCCAATGTGCCATTGCACAATGTTGCATCGCAGCCACCGCCGTTGTAGAAACAAACAGTGAGATCAACTTTGTCTCAAAACCAAGATATATATACACATCAATGGGAAAAAAAGCTCTTCAATTACGGAACTGTGTCAGTGTGTTACACCAGCACGAAAATTAGAGTACAAGTTTTCAAGAACACCCCATTTTTTATTTTTCTCTTTCAAAAGCACTATAAAAGACGAACAAAAGAGAACCTGTAAACTGTAGCAGACGACAACCTTTACCCTACTCAAGCAAACCAAATTCAACTTTCAAACACTCAAGCTAATCTGTAAAAAAAATTTACAGACTCATGAAATACACAAGGTAGCTTTGCATAATTTATGTACATAAAAGATGCGCAATATTCGTATTTTGCTAAAAATGCATGATAATATGTAGATGTGATAGTGCAACAGAGATATAGACATGCCACTATCTAATAGGCAACCCCACCTGAAAATCCATCCCCATCATGAAGCAAGCTCTCGGTTAACCAGTAACCATCCCAGGAACCACCTATCCTCTGCAACCAATGCAACAGTCAGATCAACTTTATTAAATATCACCAATGCAGACAAGGTAGAGCAAAACCAAACCTGAACCATTGTAAATTGAAAGATCTCTTCCTCCTCTGGGCGAGAGCCTTGTATCCATACTCTTTGCTTAAATCGGTTCTTTTGGGGTGCATGTGTGCCATGAAATAACAAGGCAGAGTAAATTGTTTTGGCATGCTACATAACCACACTGAAAATATTCATCTATCTAGAATATTAGAGCTGAAATCAGATTGGACACACAAGCTTTCACTTAAATGGCTTATTGACCAACCTCTTCAACCCACAAACTGCTCAAGATTCTCCTTTCCTTGTGACCAAGCAAGACCCGGTAAGTCGAATGGTGAAATATTCGTCGAAAGCGTTCAAACTACATTGCCAAATTTGAGAAAACCAAGAAGCGTAAGGAATGCATGTGATTATGTACCGGTCAACACAACTCCTTAAACTGAATATCTTTCTGACCTGTCCTAGGTCAAAGAATGGTCCAAAATAGGTTGACCTTTCAAAAGGATCAAATCCAGCAAACTGGTAGAAACATACAGCAATGTTATCATCTCTACCGTGGAAACATAACCTACAAGTGTGCTGATAGCAGAGACAAAAGAACATACCCTGTACATGACCTCTATCCCATAGTCTTGACGAGGTTGATCATTGTATTTTAATGCATCAAGCTGCCATTTTACCGCTTCTTCTGCACTAAACTAAAACATGCAATAACAGTTCTTCATATTGCACACACAAATATAGGGAAACTAATGCTGTTGTGCAGTCAGAACATTACTTCCAGCCTAGGGCCAAAAGGTCTTTTCCTGCGGGATTCAAGCCTGAAAAAGAACCAGAGAAACCCATAAATCTTTGTTGAGAAGCAAAATGAAATCTTTTAACATAAACTTTTAAAAAGATAAGAAGCATAGAGAAGTTGTCATGACAGTTGACATTAAAAATTTGCATTAGATACTACATCTAATTATTCACAAATGAACAAAAACTCTTATCTTTTATAATAACTTTATACATCCACCTCAACAATCTTGTTTCAACGACATTAATTTTTTTATACATGTTGCTTTTTAATCACCCAACACTTAGATACATAAGCATCATGGTCCAACAATTGTCTTATAAATTTTTTTAGTCTAAAAGATGCACGGTGGTTACGTGTACATCGTCTCCATTTTATCCATCTAATTTTTAATTTATAAACAATGTCTTCACCTTGTTAAGTACTCAATCCACGGAATCTAAAACTTTTACTGATTAAAACTTCTTGTCCATCCAACTCAATTATGTCCTTAGTTTTTCTTTAGTGTTAATAAAATTGCATCTCATGATTTGTAAATTTTGTCCCTGTAACTCAAGTTGACAATGAATTTCGTTTAATCTCTCACCAAGTAAAACAAATTTAAACTCTCACCAACTAAAAACAACAGACTAATATATTAGCAACCAAAATTTGAATAGGACAACAAAACTTACAGAATAAGAGAAAACACCACAATTATTTTGTAATGGGATGATAAATATAGTAAACAGAAAAAGGAGATCTCTCTGAACTTGATTTTCATAACAATGGAATGAGAACTAGATTGTTAGTATCAAAGTTACGAAACAATGGTGATAAGGGATTATTTGGTCGGCCGACCATTGGTGCGGCCTATAGGCTTGCGAGGAATTATCCGCTTTGGACGATGGGCATACCTGTACGATTTTGTCCTTTTGAAGCATGTGAGCTCCAAAAGGCACCTCTGAGGGTAAGGGAGACCTGACAGACTTATGAGCCCTTGATTCTTATACTCCTCAACTAATGTGGGACTAAATGACCTTATCAAATGGTTATGCTTATACCAGAAGAAAGATAATAAATGAAGCATAATAAGTTTGTCTTGTCTTCTTGATTGACATGCAATTCCAAACGAACAAAAATAAAATCAACACAGAAGAAAAATATGAAGCAGATTATACCGAGAACATCATGAAATGTCTTATGTTAAAATTAGGCCTACCATGGATTAACTGGAGTTGTAAAGGAAATGCTATGGTATTTGGTTTTAGGAGAGAATTTTGACAAAACCTTAGATACTAAAAACATTTTCTATTTTACTTTTTTTTGTTTTTTCTTTCTGTAATACACTTAGAGTCTTAGTTGTGCCTTACCAAAGAATAAAAAAGGAGATGCAAGTTATATTTAATTACGATTACTTGATTTTGTGGGAATTGTTGAATTCTTGCTGTTTTCAAGAATCTAATGAAATACTGGATGCTTGATTTGTTAATTCAATAAACAACCATAGACGATCGCATAGGTTGACTAAGCAACGTATAACTATTTTCAGACGCTTAAGGTAATAAGGATATCATATGTGGTCATTAAACCTATGGTGGTTGGTCATTAAACCTTGTCTAAGACACGCCCAGAAAGGATGAAGGTGGATCAACCGGTAATTGTCTATATTTCCTAGAAATCTCTTAAAACGCCATGAAATTGCTTCTTTTGTTTTCCTTCTCACTTCGCCTCACCATTTGCAATTGGATAATGTGTAATCAATCGATTTCTCGTCCAAACTCTCAGGAATCCTTGCAGAAAGGGACCCATAATTAGCGCCTAAACAACAGAAATCAAGCTAAAGAAGCGCCGCGCTAATTTCCACATGAGAAAGCGGGGGTTAAAAATGAAGGACAAATTTACCAATCGGAGGAGAGGAAGTCGGGAACGGGGACGTCCGAGGAAGACGAAGCTCTGATGGATGGAATCACAGATGGGGGTTTGGTCTGGCGGCCGCGAAAGGGACTCGCGCACAGAGAGATCGGTCGAAGCGGGGACGACGATAGCGCCATGATGCTTTGATCTGATCTGCCCCCAGCTTCCCTTCGTTTCGACCTTGCCTTAGTTTCCCCCCTCCCTCTCTGCCCGCTGGTCAATTCCTCTTCTTTATCCCAATTAATAGAAAGCGTTGTTTTGAGGGTATGGTTGCCGCCTTCTCTAAAGGCTTACGCAAAGGCTATTAATGAGAGGAAAAGAAATGAATGTCTCATCACAAAAATATATTTTTTTCGTTTTTTATGGCTCCTCGTCTAAAGGCTTTAACACTTGAATCAAACCACAGGTCACTGGTGCCACTTGCCTGACACATCAGCCCAGTATAATCAACATGGTGCAGTTTTTTGACCGAACCATGGCTCCATGTGATCGACATGTCAACTCAATACGGTCAATATGATGGAATCGACACCATGACTCACATGATCAATACGAAACTAATTTATCAACACAGACTCGAGTATCAAACAAGAGTTAAATTAGTATACTTATCAGACTCATATAAGTTAATCATACATATCGTCCACTTCTGATATGGGACTAATGGGATGTTACAGCCAATATGGTGGAGTCGACACCATGACACCACTGTCCACTCATGTGATTGACATCTTAGCTTCACATGGTCACCCTCCAGTATTACCTCATTGTCACGTGACCAAATACTCTGTCTTATTAGAGACAATACACCAATAACAAACAATTTTCATATTTTCACACATTTTGAATAATTAGACGTCTCCGATCCATGCAACGACATTCTTAGAAATTGTTTAATCTCAAACTCTACATGAGTTAGTTATGTCCGAGATCGACATCCCATGACTTCATAAGCATGTCATTCAAAGGTATGGGAGACCTACTACAAAAGAGGCTTCACAACGAAGTTAAGACATGTTTACTAACTTAAGAATTGAAGAGACATTATCGATAATATCCTAAAATAGATTTATAGGATTTGAACGATTAACATAGAATTTATTCTTAAGACTAACTCGAGAAAAGATTCATATTGATTCCGAATTGACTTTCACCTCTCGCACAATAAAAAAAGTTGGTACATGTATTCTTATGTTCCAAATGCATTATGTAGAATAAAATTGATGTCCATGTTTTGTTATATTTCTCGTCTTTATTATTTTCATGAATAATTTTATGATAA